ATAGTGGGTGAAGCTTGAAATGAGTAAATAATTTTCGCATATATCCGAGGTAGTCTTAAAAAAGTGCTAGTTTTGAGTTTATTAACCGTTGGATCGGACTGAAATTTGGTTAGCCTATTTGGGACATCCAAGTCATTAATTTCAACGGTTGGATTGTCATTTTGATCTCTGGGTTACAAGTTATTAGGTATGTTTTTAACTTCTTCTTTTTTAGATAGAGTACTAAGCAGTAAATTAGCATTTTTAAGTTCGTTCACCGTTAGATTGAACTATAATTTGGAAGATAGTATCATGATAGATAGGAAATTAAATTCAATGGTCAGAATAAGGGTTTAACTTTTACAGTGAGAATAACCTAGTTTGTATTAAGTCTATTTGTTTAAGTCCTTCAAATATGGAAAATAAATTATAAATTTACAGTTTATCTATTTACGTTATGAATTTGATGATTCTAATAATATAATCTAATAATTAAAGGATGTTTAAGCAAGAAAAATTTAGGAACCGAGTCTAAATCATATATATATGTTCTCATTCCAAACCTTAGAGAAATGTCTTTTAGACTAGAATTCTGAGTAAAAATTAAAGCTTTTAGAGGAGGAGTTAGGGGCTAGAATTTTGTGAGTAGCCTACTCTAATACTATAGAAATAACATTTTAATTTCGTTTGTAGATATAAACTCTATTGTGACATTTTTAAGGTTGGAATTTGGTTGTATTTGATTGTTAGCTAGGAGACCAAGTAACTAAATTCCTATCTGTTGCATGCTTCGGTATGAAGCTGGTGAGTAGCTTTATAAGTAATTCTATAAAAGTATATTATGTTTTTTATGAACTGTCTTGTGGGATGCTATTTTAAAAAAGGACTGACATAGTTTGTATTGCAAGAAATTGGTAATCATGATTATGACGTGTTATTATGAAATTCGGTTGATTATACACATAAATGTGTCATTTTGAACCCTGTGCACCTATTTTAGGTGGGAAAAGGAGATAATTGGAGTTATTGAGATTCATATACTTACCACGTGATATTGGCCTTCATACGAAGCTCTATAGTTGATCGCTATTATTGTCCCACTAGCTCTTCGAGGGACTGCGACACTCCACTAGTTCTTCGAGGACGGACCCATAGTCCATTGAGTGCCCTGTGATATTTGGCCGGTCCACATCACTTGTATGGTGAGCTTGTTAGAGTTGCTAGTCAAATGGGAAGAACTTAGCCCATGGGTCCAGTCAGCCAAAATAAGAAGGATATAAGGATGAATCTGGGTTCAGGAATTGCACATGACATGAGATATTCATTGATATTTATATCTTTTAAATAAATGAAAAGTATGTTATTTCTTTTGAAATGTATCAACTGCATGATATTAGTAGAAATATTTGTCTTGTATAATTATTGTGAGTTTAAATGTTAAATAGATGTCTATCAATTGTTGTTAACTCTGTGTACCCCACCTAACACCTTGCTAGCCCATGCTAGGATGTGTGATAGATAAAGATTTAGTTACTGGGACGTTGTCCCATGCTAGGATGTGTGATAGATAGGGATTTAATTACTGGGACGTTGGCTTACTCCCGTTGCTTTACCATTTTCAGGAAACAATACGTTAGCGGGACCTTCGGGGAAGACTCATGAGGCTCAATAGCTGTAGCTGACAGTGCAGGGCTTCTGGACTTTATTTTATGCAATCTTTTCGTATATTACCACGCATCAGGACTGCATTCATTCGGGATTTATTTTACTTTTTCATATTTTTATGTCGTTTGACCTAGTGAACGTATTATACATTCTATCTTTGGTTTATTTTGTCTGAATATTGGACTAGAGTATTGATAGTAGGCCTGAGGCCCTTAAATTGTATGTGATTGAATTATTATGAATCCATGATGTGATAATGACAAATCTTCACAAGTTTAGTTGTTGCCAGTATTGATCATATAGTCAAATTTGAACTGCTATTATAATTTATCGAGGCGTGTTGTTTTAAAACCTTGTTAGCTATTATTACAGATATATGTTATTCTTTTTCTAACCATGATAGCTTGAATTGAGGTCGAATGCTTTTTTTATCATGGTTAGCCCCTTAGTAATGTGATTTCTCCTAAATAACCATGACTGTGTATGTTTACTAGTTTTAGTCATTTCTATCATGGTTAGTTCTAGTTAGTAAGTGGCGATATTACACATAACGTCTAGTTAATCTAAATTAATACTCCTCATGTCCTCAATATAAGATCTATTTAACTAATTTGATTAGATTAAAGAAGTTAGGTAAGTTAATTAATTATAAGAAATATGACATATTTTTTCTAAAATACTATAATCATCTTTCTTAATATCCTTACTCTCCCACTTACTTGATTATGGTTGAGGGAGTATCCATAAAGATAATTTAGAAAAAATTAACAAATATGATAAATAGGTCTTATATTTAAAATCAAAATCAACTTAACAATTAGATCATATATTAAGGATTAGAGGCGTACTACTTTACGTCTTTCATATAAAAGTAGTTTGACATTTAATTCAATATTAAATGTAAGATTCTAATTTTTTTTTGTATTTCTCTATTTTTCCTAAGATAATTATTGTAATAGTTTTATATGTTAACATTTTATTAAATAGTTGTTCTAACTAATACACTGATTAATAAAAGTATTTTAAGAAAAACAATATATATTTATTATAAATAACTAACATATTTAATTTTTTAAAATATACTCAAATTAGTTAACTAGTTATTATATTAATAATCAAATGTGATAACTTACTGTAAAAGTTAAAAAATAATTGCTTCGTCCGGCAAAAAAAAAAAAAAATGTAACTCAGATCGTGCCACTACCATGACAATCCCGGAGATTAAATTATTTGATATGTGAAGACGAATCTCTGTTCATATTCAAATATGCATGCGCACCCGCTTAAATGAGTCACATGAAGATAAGGTTGGACAAGATCATTGGAAGGGAGACTGAGGCTAATCTCACTCAAAATCATTAATTTGATTAAATTATTGGTGCGGTCCCACCAAAGGGTGGCCTATCTGGCATTGCTGCCCCATGTACTCATCTTTAAAATTCATGGTGAAATAGTTTATAAGTGATTTTTAATCATAATTTATGAAACAAGTATTTGAAAAAAGTTTTGTTTTGACTTTGTGGGCTTTTAAAAGCCAGTAAGCCCTTGATCAAGTAATAACCTGTTTGTAATAGCTTATAAGTAGTTTTTTAACGGTGATTTACAGAATACAAGATAAGTATACAAGAAAAATTTTGTCTCAACTTGCATGAATCGTGCTTATAGAAAATATCTTAAACTCTCCCAAACAGGCCCTAAGACTTCCTACACTAAGGATTTTGGTTTAATAGAAATGGTTAATTCTTCATAATGTGCAAAATAATGCTTGAATACTCACCGAGATGCTTACATTTAACACACGATAATGCTTTAAACGTGATTATTTCTAATAAGAAGATATTTATACCTAGCAAAAAAATTTTTTTATAATTTTAACACAATGATTAAAGTAATACTACAACATTTTTTCATCAACGGTTAGGAAAATCTCATATAATGTTAATATTAAAATAATGATATATACCGCAGGGCGCCTGGTCTGGCACGCCATACAGTCCGCCGGTTCCTTTTTTTAAAACAAACAAACAACAAGCCTTATCCCACTAGGTGAGGTCGGCTACATGAATCACACGACGCCATCGTGCTCTGTCAACAACCCAATCCTTAGATATGTTGTTGATTAGGAGGTCTCGTTCAATGACCTCATTCAGCGTTCTTCTCGGTCTTCCCCTGCCTCTTTTTATGGGACTCCATCTTGTTTGATCCACCCTCCTCACCGGGGCCTCCAAAGGCCTTCTCTGCACATGTCCAAACCATCTTAAGCGATTTTCAACCATTTTCTCTTGGATAGGTGCCACACCGACTCTTATCCTAATCTTTTCATTTCGAATCCTATCTTTTCTTGTATGACCACACATCCATCTCAACATCTTCATTTCTGCTACTCCGACTTTGTGCTCTTGTTTTTCCTTTATTGCCCAACATTCACTACCATACATCATAGCCGGTTCCGTTTTTTTTTTTAAAAATTATTTTTATTATTTTTTAAAGCCTTATGAATTCTTGTTGAAAAAAAAGTAAGAAAATTAGGGAACTGTTAACATTTTTTTATAACTTTTTCAAAATCACCTGCTTTCATCAGGAGGAAAAGAGTAAAAGAAATAAGAACATTGTTAAAGATGAGTTATAAATATCTCAAGTGGGATAACTCCTATTAAAAATGAAAATTACAATCAAATTTTACAAAAGAGAAATAATTATTAAAAGGTTCTAATAACAATCTGAGCAGCTTGTAATGACAAGTAATACAGTAAAGAATAACGACCTCTAGAATTTATTTTGTTATTTTTTTCTTTTATGAGAATTAATTATAATTCTCCGGTATCAAAATCCAATACACAGGATATTCTAAATAAAATTGGAGGGCGCTGGTAAAAAATAAAATCGGAGGGAATAATTATTTAATGCTTTGTCTTGATTTTTAAGCGACCTGCTCTTGTTCAGCACGGAGAACTCAAGTGAGAACTCAGAATGATTGATGGAATATATATATGACTTGATTGATTGATGGAATATATTAATTACTGGGAAATGATGAATAAAAGGCAAAAAGGGCCGGGAATGAAGAGCAAGAAACAAAGGTAGACGGACAGTGGTCCCCCGTCGGAAACCCCCGGGGGGGGCCAGACAGCAAGGCCACTGCAACCAGACGCCGGACTCTACCTTGTTTTTTTGGGAGAGAAAAAAAAAGAAACAAGAAACAAGAAACTAGATTTACAGTTACAGAGAGAGAGAGAGAGAGAGAGTCACAGTGGAAGAGGTGAGTATACATGAACCCCAGTGGAACCCCACCACGGCAATTCAGTTTCGGAGCCGTGAGGGCGTTACCTTCCCTCAAATATCAGGGTCCTCACTCTCATTTCATGTGCTCTAACTGACACGCACATCTCTACTCTCAGCCACACCTCTTCTTCTCTCTCCCTCCTTCTCTCTCCTTTCACCGTCGTCATCCGTCCTTAGCTTATCAACCTTCCTCTCTTTACATTCATTTTGCTCTCTCCCTTCTTCCTGCTCTTTAATATCTACAACTCCCTCCCATGGTTTCTCTCTATGACCAATCATGCCCGCTCTCTTCTCTCTCCCTAGGTGCTTGGGAAGTTATTGTCAGAGCAGCAGCGGCGGAGGGGACAGTGGCCTCGACGTCGTCGCCGATGACACTAGTCCAAACGCCAATTCGTCCGTCGAGTGCTATGCCTGTACTCAGGTGGGTGTTCCCGTCTTCCACTCCACCAGCTGCGACAGCTATCATCCGCCGCAATGGGAGGCTTCCGCGGGTTCTTCCTTAGTCCCTATCCAGAACAGAACCGCGGTGAGGAATCCGAGGCAACGACCCAAATCGGGGCCGTTCGGTCGACTGTTGGACCCGAGGAGCAAGCGCGTGCAGACCTGGAACAGGGCTCTGCTGCTGGCGAGAGGGTTGGCGCTGGCGGTGGACCCGTTGTTCTTCTACGCGCTGTCAATTGGGAGGGACGGGACGCCGTGCCTGTACATGGACGGCGGTTTAGCGGCGATAGTGACGGTGCTGAGGACGTTGGTGGACGTGGTTCACGTGTTCCACGTGTGGTTGCAGTTCAGGCTGGCGTACGTGTCGAAGGAGTCGATGGTGGTTGGGTGTGGGAAGCTGGTGTGGGACGCGCGTGCCATAGCAGCGCATTACCTGAGGTCATTCAGGGGCTTCTGGTTCGACGCCTTTGTGATACTTCCTGTTCCTCAGGCAAGAAAAATTTTCTCCTTCATTCCCAAACCCTTTCAATTCTTCAAGCGTCATTGCCACGTGATGGGTTGATCATAAAGCAATGATTCCTATGTCTTTTCGAAACTCCAATTTACTCCTCGTTCCCCGCTAGCTTATTTCTCTGTCACGGCAGAAAAAGCTGATTGCGTACGTATATAATGACTTTGTAAGCGGTTTCGGACGTTTATCTTTTACCTAACCAACAAGGTATCTGATTATGAATAAAGAACTATGGTATAGTAGAATATAATCAGCTTTACCATATCAGAGTCTTCTTTAACGTCAAATAATTAAAAATTAAATCAATAAAACTTTATAGTATAGTTTCCTAGGACTTTTTCTTGGCTATCCTTGTTTCCAAAGACTAGCTAGGATAAAGTATTAGCTGTGCTGAATTGCTGTTTGCGTTTCATTTGCAGGCGGTGTTTTGGCTTGTACTCCCAAAGTTGATAAGAGAAGAGCAAATTAAAATCATAATGACTATAATGCTATTGATCTTCCTGTTTCAATTTCTGCCCAAGGTTTACCACAGCATCTGCATGATGAGGAGGATGCAAAAAGTCACGGGCTATATCTTCGGCACCATTTGGTGGGGCTTTGGCCTCAACCTCATAGCTTACCTTATTGCTTCTCATGTAATTAACCACGCCCTTTAGCCCCCTCCATTGTTTGTTCCTACCCCACAAACTCACTTTCGAGTTTAAGTTGATCTGATCTGAATGTGCTAGCTATTTACAGGTAGCAGGAGGGTGTTGGTATGTGCTTGCAATTCAACGTGTAGCGTCGTGCCTGAGCCAGCAGTGTGAAAGAGGGTATGGATGCGATCTCCCTCTGTCATGTTCAGATGAAGTGTGTTACAAGTTTCTGTCACCAACAGGCACAGAAGGAACTTCATGTAATGGAAACTTCACAGTCGTCGCAAGAAAGCCATTGTGTTTAGATGTGAAAGGACCTTTTAAATATGGGATCTACCAATGGGCTCTCCCGGTCATTTCCAGTAACTCTCTGGCTGTCAAGATTCTTTATCCCATATTTTGGGGTTTGATGACCCTCAGGTATATATATTCCCAAAGCATCCTCTTGATTATTACAATTTATTATTGGAGAAGAAAACCCGTAACAATTCCAAGTTCGTTTATACGTAAATTATAATGCTTCCTAGGATCAGATCAGGTTTTTAGGATTTTACTTTGTATCGATGTCTGTTGTTCATGATTTATTAGTACGTACCTCCTCTAACATATTTGATTAAACGTTCTGTTCTTTACCTCTTATAGAAATATAACAAAAGACTTGATTTCTTTACCTTTCAATGAGTTCTATTAATTTTTGTTTACCACGCCGCAGCACTTTTGGCAACGATCTTGAGCCCACAAGTAACTGGCTAGAAGTGATTTTCAGCATTTGCATCGTACTCAGCGGACTAATGCTCTTCACTCTGTTGATTGGTAACATCCAGGTAGAGAGAACATACATAATAATGAAACCCAGAGGAAGAAATGATAAAAAAAGAAAAATATTTCCATCAAAATGAAACGTCTAATATGAAGATTTGTGGTTTCCGTGAAGGTATTCTTGCACGCAGTAATGGCGAAGAAAAGAAAGATGCAGCTGAGATGTCGTGACATGGAATGGTGGATGAGGAGGAGGCAGCTTCCGTCCCATTTAAGACAGAGGGTTCGCCAGTTTGAACGCCAGCGATGGGCAGCAATGGGAGGAGAGGACGAAATGGAATTGATCAGGGACCTTCCTGAAGGATTGAGGAGAGACATCAAGCGTTATCTTTGCTTAGACCTCATCAAAAAGGTAACAAAAGTTGCCCCAATCCATGGTTTCAGTTCTCTGCAACTTATTTCAACGGATGCAGAACAAACAAATCGCTTTTCTGGAGATTAACACACACACACACACACACTATATATATATATATATATATATCATAAAATCCATATCGTCAAGCCGCTATAACATAAGGCTTGGACTGGAAAAGGAAGAAAATGATGATGGAGCTACGTGGTCTCTGTTTCGCAGGTACCTCTGTTTCACAACTTGGATGATCTTATCCTTGACAACATCTGTGATAGGGTTAAACCCCTAGTCTTCTCTAAAGACGAAAAGGTACACATCAAGAAGACAGTTGCTATATAATCCTATTTATCCATTCGATGCATTGGATATCACTATACATATGATAGCGGGGAAGACCATGTCTTTGATTAATATATACATGACTTTTGTTGAACAGATAATCAGGGAAGGGGACCCAGTGCCAAGAATGGTATTCATAGTCCGCGGGCGCATAAAACGCATGCAAAGCCTAAGCAAAGGCATGGTGGCCACCAGCATAATCGAAGCTGGGGGTTTCTTGGGGGACGAGCTTCTCTCCTGGTGCCTTCGCCGGCCGTTCCTCGACCGACTTCCGGCATCGTCCGCCACGTTCATATGCCTGGAATCGGCAGAAGCCTTTGGGTTGGATTCAACTCACCTCAAGTACGTGACGGACCACTTCAGGTACAAGTTTGCCAACGAGAGGCTGAAGAGAACGGCGAGATATTACTCATCGAATTGGAGAACGTGGGCTGCCGTGAACATACAGTTTGCATGGCGGCGATACAGGCAGAGGACAAGAGGTCCGGTGACCCCTGTAATCGAAGCTGGAGGAAGCAGTAGCGCTGAACGCAGGCTCTTGCAGTATGCTGCCATGTTCATGTCAATAAGGCCACATGACCACCTTGAATGAAAATTTAAATTAATTAAAAATAAAAGAGAAAATCCCGTTGTTCTTCTTCAATGTTTCGAGTTGTGTTTGCCATTCTATTCCTCAATAAAATTTTGTCTATTGAACGAGAAGTTGTGGAATCACTCTTTGAATGTGCACCAAAAACAAAAACGAGCAACTGTGTTGAGATTGAATTAATATGGATAAAAATTGGTTTTGTCGTTCTTATATGATAAGGGCTTTACAAAAATTATACTACCTCCAAAAAAAATCTTATAATTAAGACTAGAAATAGTACTCTAAAAGTTAACTCGTTAATGGAAGTTCTATACTTTCAAACTCAACTTATTAAGGCCTTGTTTAGTATTACAATTGAAATAACTTATAAACATATTTCACATTTAAATCAAAATAAAACTCTCGTCACATGTTTACTATCTATTTTATAAATCACAATCAAAAAGCTATTTATAAGTTATTTTAAGGGAAAATTAATCTTTTAGTCCTCTAATTTTTAATCTACTTATAACTCAGTTCCTCAACTATGACTCGTTATGACTCAGTCCTTGAATTTTTGACTTGCTAGTGACTCAATCCCTCATCTTTCCAACGTGCATAAAATTTGTCCTTCTCTGTTAATTTCTCATCCCATATAAGAACCACATCATACCTTTCATCCTTGTAAGCGCCACATTAGACGTTGAATCAGCATGAGGGTAAAAGCTAGAGGATTAGTGCTGCAGCGATTTTCCCCTTCTCATCATCTCCTTGTGTCTTCTCCATCTTTGTTCGAATTTCCTTTGGCTGAAGAAGGCATGTAAGATCTTGCATGCCTGTTTGTCATTCTCCATCGATCTCGTCTTCTTGATCAATGCGTTCTCCTCCATCTTCTTTCTCCTTGTGTTTGTATTCTCCATCTTCATTCTCCTCGTGTTCGTCCGACTAATGCAGACAGGGAGGAATGGATCTAAAAATTCTTTACTTTTTCAATGGAAATGATTCGTTCAGATTTTCTAAAGGTAAATTATCTACCAGATATTCACATTTAGAGAATCAAGAAACACTCAACATCAGTAATAGCAAATTTTGTGGTCCCTTGCATCTTTCGTTTCACCGCTGGATCTCAAACTATGGAAGCACAATTATTTATTCATGGAATCTGTTTCAAATTTTATATAAATTTTATGGGTATCTATTTAGAGGCACATCAACAATTATTAACACCGTCAATAACGTTTTTCTACAAGTATGAAGGATGAGTTATGAGTTGGACTGCCACACGGATGAGAAGGATTATGTTTTTAAAAAATAAAAAGGTGAGGGACCAAATCACAGGCGAGTCAAAAGTTTAGAAACTAAATCGCAACGAGTCATAGTTGAGGGACTGCATTATAAATGAGTTAAAAGTTGAAGGACTAAAAGATTAATTTTCCCTTATTTTAATCTAATCTTAAACTGGTTTTCTGGAGCATTCTAATGAAAGGCTGCGGAGCCAATTGATAGCAGCCTGCAAAGCGAATCTTTATACTGCACGGAATTAACGACTAAACCCAGCACCTCCCCAGAAATAGCAAATAGGCAGAAGAACTAGATGGAAACAAGATAATATATGCAAAATACAGAATATTAAATTACAGAAACGGAGCAAGGGACCCCTGTAACATTGCAGAGGTCGCGAAAACCAATTTCCAAAATATTTCACACGTTTCACTGATTTCTTTTTAATATAATATTAAGATTTAGATGAAAACAAAATCATGATTTTAAAATTATTTTTATGATATAAAAAAATATATGAAGGAATTTATCTCACACTACAAAAAAAAATGGTTTTCAAAAGTATTTTTTTATCCTATCACACCCCCCCCCCCAAAAAAAATAACAATGGCTTCACTTTCCGTCCTCCATCACACTGCTTTCTCCATCTCTACCTTCGTATTCGTTCAAGCCTCCAGTCAGGTCTTCTTTCCTCATTCCCTCAACGTCCAGCGGATATTTTTCTCATTTTCTGGCCCTTATCAAACCCAAGATTCCCATTCTTCCCTCTAAAACAGACCTTTGTAGTAGCAGCCCCGTCAGTACTGCTAATTTTCATATTTTTCCAAGCATTGAGAAACTACAAAACCTCGTACATATCATTATTTGTCTGAAACAGTTAAGTACTAGTGAGGTGAAGATCATAGGAGCAAGGGCCAGGGGAAGTTTAGAATGGCTTTTATACATCGAGGGTATAAGATTTATCGGACAAAATGCGGGATTAAAACACAGTGATCAATCAATCCATAAATAATTACTCGAAATAAAAGAGGGGTAATTATAAATTACGCCGCCTACTTTGTATCATATTATTTTCCTAGAATATCAGCCTAAAAGACATAAGTAAAATGCACCTGAACAAATGTGCTCATGGTTAAGAGATGATCGAATTCAGAACAAGTAAAATCTTTAGTACCCTTGCAAAATGTAAAAAAGACAAAAGAAAAAAAAGAAAGAGGGTTTCTCTGCCGATCAAGATAACTTTGCCTGGGCTAACAAAAGATTAAAGCGGAGCAATCAAGAGGAAAGAGTACTCCTAGAGATGATGTCAAATGATATCCCATTTTGTTGAAGTCTTTCCTGAAGATCAGTATGACCAAACACTATACCTGGAGGGTAAACTCCGCCTTTTGGTAGGTTGTCCCGTTGGCTGAGAAGAACCAGAGCACACTGAATAAGAGTGATTGGAGTGGTGATGTATCCAATTTCCGGTCCCATTACTCTTGTTATAATTTCCATGTCAGGTTTTGAGTTTCCCTGTGCCGCAAGACTCTCATTGCTATAACCATGCCCTACAAACCACATCTTGAATGAAGCGCTTTCCACCTCCTCTTCAGAGGGACCTTCCTTCCTGAACCCACCAAGGCTAAAGAACGAAGGGAATTTCAGAAGAAGCCACCTACCAAAAGAAAAACTTCCCAAAAGACCAAAGAAAACCCCGATCGTAACAAATCCAAAAATCCCCAACAAGGATTTGGAGCCTACTTTCACACCAAAATGAGCTGGCTTCACGTTTGACCAGTATGCTCCCCTTTTCTCAACTGCCTCAGCGCTCTCATTCCTTCCAGGAAGACCGTGGGGATTCTCCGTTAGAGCTGCTAGTGTTCTTCGTACAACAATCGAGTCTGCAGAAGGTAGCTTTACTCCCCAAAGTCCAATTTTCTTCTGGTGTTCAATACTTCCTTTCGGAGGAGGAGCTCCAGGAATCTGCAAGCATTAAGATAAAAGTTGATATAGTGACAAAGTATTTTAAACCACATAAAAGAGTGAAGGAAAGGGGGCGCAAGGTCAATAGACAACAGTAGCAAGACCAACATTAGTTTAAGTTGATCGGGAGATCACAATTGAGACAGAAAATGATCCACGGAAAGTAATAAGTCAATGATTTCTGACATTCAAAATGATTTATAAGTACAAATACGCCCTTCCCGTTCCACCAAACCCCACATTTTGTTCCCCTCCAAATTGAGAGGTGAAAGAGAAGAACATGTCTTTGGGTAAAGAAAGAACGAAAAGAAACTAGCAATTTACGGTTTCATATTAGGTCAGTAAATCTAATGCCATTGCAACTCCTAAGACCAGATCTAGATTTTTGACACTGCAACAATTTCTAGTTGCCGTCATTGTCAATTAAATGTCCCCGAAGCTTACATCTGACACATTCAACTTCAAGAATGCAAAAGAATGGTATTATCACAGCTAAGCCATTACATACGACAAATTACAAGTTGTCACCTTTGTACCTTGGAACAACCATTACCACTATATTTATACGAACTAAACCTCCGCACAAATCACAGTAAACCACCACACGTACATGTTCTTCGGAGACAGCTCGAGTATGCAACAATACCGTATAATAATGTGAATGTAACCATTTTCATTGCTCTAATGTCAATAGTATTGCCAATAATTAGAATTATTTCTGCACTGGCTTTCCTAAGACTAACATGGATAAGTGGATACACCACTCTTGCTCCATTTTTTATGCTTCCGTTGATTTTCAATCACTCAAATCGAAATCTTACCATGAAAAGGCCCTCCAACTTCTTTAAGAGCTCTTCCTACCAACTAGACAACTATAACAATTAATCAAAATGCAGAGAGTTGCAGTTACACTTGCCTCTCAAGGCTCGCCTACATGTCTAAATCAGAAAAGCAGTAAGTGCAGAAATGCCTCGAAGGCTTAAACATTTTTCAAGTGTAGATTCTCTTACCACTGGCCTAGCTCTTCGGGGCCTCGACCGTCTCAGTTCCTGCAACTTCTTCGCATTAGCCACGCCCAAAACCGCCGATTCATAAGTCCCATAGTTTCCCACAATCCTTTTATCGGACTCCAAGCTCAAGTACGCTTCGACGCGGTTCGGCACCGACGGAGCCTGCCACTGTCTCGAATTGAACATCAGTCCCATTTCAGCAGGAATCGAGTCAAACCCACATGCCGATATCACCAAAGATCCAGTCTCCATAGCCTTGTCGTGGTACTTCGCCTCCATCCTCTCCATGAACTCAGGCTCGCCACATATGTCCAAGTAATCACACCCGGTTTCAGCACAAGCGGCAACGACAGGGTCGCCGTAAAGACGAAAAGGGCCGACGCAGTTGAGAATCAGCTTGGCCTGGCCACAGAGCCTGTGGAGAGAAGAGGGATCTGTTGTGTCGGCGGTTAAAATTGGGATCGAAGGCGGGGGATCAGGACGGCTGGCCCATTTAAGAGCGTCGAAGAGTTTCGCAGGGTTACGACCTGCCAAGGCGATGGATTTGAGAGGGGAGGAAGGGGCGTTAAGGAATTTGACAGCTTCTCTGACAACGTATTTGCCAGTAAATCCCGAAGCACCTAAGATTATGAGGTCAAAATCAGAACTGGAATCGAGTTTCGGGGCTGTTTCCATGGTTTCAGCGAGCGGAGACTTGAGAGTGTACTACGCAACGAACTGCTTTTCACTTCAGAGAGGAAGAAGGTGCACGAATACGAGGAGGAAGAAATGCAGATAATTGAATTGATTTCTCATATGAGGCTTTTGTTACGGGACCGCTCTAATTACTCCATGTTTCCGAAACATCAATAATTAATTAAATGATATTTATAAGCTCACGCAGGCGCGGCATCGAGGACCTTTTCACTGAACTTGCCTGAGTCGCCTCTGATGCAAACACAATCGGCAACCGTATCGGGGAGCGATGACTAATGAGAGCTACTGGAGGAGGACCCGCCATTCGGGCATGGTAATGATATGAATCCTAGGACTTGGCTGGAGGACTTGGTTGGAGGTCGGTTCAAAACAGATTTTTAAAGAAATTCACGGAGATATTTAAAAAATTACTCATAAATAAATCTAAACAGGCCTTTAATATGATACGCTTCTCAGTTCTCCCCCCACATCATTGGCATTTTTTTCCTTCTGGTGAATCACACACACGCCACTTTTAATCCGCCCTCATCTCCTCTCCTCCCCATCTTTACCCGCCCCTAGTTCTAAAGTAAAATGTAAGGACATTTCAGCAAGTACGTGGGATTAAACAAAAACGAGTTGGAATGGCTATTAACAATTAATACGTAGAAAATTTGTGATATTTTTTTGAAGACATTCATGTGCAGAAATAAAAATGTCTCAACAAATAAAAGTATTATAAAAAAATAATTAATAAAGGAGGTAAAAGAAATCGAACCATGTAAGCCTATACTTGGGATAAAAAATCCCTGAAGTGTCTATACTTAGTACTTGATTTCAAACAAGATTGATTCTACTAAAAAAATATCTGTGCCAAAAAAAAAACTTTGAAATAGAGTTTGATTACTAAAATTTTTTTTAAATTGACTTCAATATTTGTCTTTATTTAATAATTTAAGCACCTGTTTATATTTTATATTTATTTTAAATAAATAGAATGAATTAAATAATAATATAAAATAATATGAGACCTACTTCTACATTTTCATAAAGTTAACCTTTTTTTTTTTTGCCATCATATAAAATAAACTTTATGCAGATAGGACTTGCTCGAGTTTCAATACTTAGTTCGAAACACCATACGTTCATACGATGAACTCGAAAATTTATCATATGCTCAGATGTTATTAGTTGTTTTTATTCCCTCTCTCTCTCTCTCTCTCTGTTTTTTTTTTTTTTTATGTTGGGTGAAATTTTAGTCAGTCAACTTTGCTGAAGAAAGCTGGATGAACCCCATCATTTAGAGGACATAATAAAGGTAAACCTCAAAACGCTTTACACAGTTTTAAAGCAATTTAAAAAACAATCACAATTTACAACTACTATGGACGAGTAAGTACGAGACTGGGTGACACAAGGCCTTGGATTATCCAACCTAGAAATTTTTTTTTTTTTTTGCCAGTGAATAATCCTTCATGTTGTCAGAGCGTTCCAAAGAAGTTGCATTATAAGGTCAGTCAATCCATCCAGCTTAGGCCACATGTCTCACCAAACCTTCCTTCGGCCCATAAGCCCAAGAACCTCCTCCCAGAACCCAATACTTCCGACACTTTCCAGCCCAACCACACTTGGGCTACAAGCAGCCACAGTCCAATAGCCAGCCCTGATCTCATCCCTTAACTGTTCCTTCTCCCACCCACAATACCCATCGAAGAACCTCAAATCTCCAACCCCAACCACATTCCTCTTTACCATCTCAGCCGCACAACCCACACTCTCCCTCGTCCCATAGTACAGGCCCTTCATCACCTCCTCCAACACCCCACTCGCACTCTTCTCCAGGCCTTCCTCTTTTGGGCCCAACAAAAATAGGCCCGCTTCCAGCGGCCCACCAAAAAACAAGGGCCTGTTTGAAAACGTGCCCTCCTCGTCCATCGCCGTCGATCGCGTCTCCTTGATCGACATTAAGGACGGTCGATTCAGTATGATCCCTGAGGGGCCTATGGGTCCGGTGGAGAGAAGCAGGACCACCGTCCGCTCAAATATGTGGACCCCATTCAGCTTCTCATTGGCGATGAGCAGGCAGCCCTTTTCAGGCTCGTGGATGATGTGGGCCCATTTGTCCCCCAGGCTGATCGGTCGCGGATCGGGGACGGAAGAAGAGGAAGGCTCGTCCGGCGCCGTTCTCAGCTGTTCACCGGCCACCAGCTTTGCACGGAAGGATCGCCAATCCGCGTTTTGAGATGGCCGATCACCATCGCCATCGAAGGGCGAGGAGGATGAGAGATGGCAACCTGTGTTGTACAGATCAGATCAAACCAATCGAAAAATACATATGAGATATGATAATCCAGATAGGTTGGAAAAAGGAGTGAGAGAACTAACATGGAAGAGCGACTGTCCTGGAGTGGAACTGAAGAGATGGTCTTTTGGGGAAGGAGAGAGAAGGAGATTTGAGCATGTGAAGAGGCTGATCGGGGGTTTTGGTGAAGGAATTGGAGACGAGGAAACAGGCTTCCATGGCTCCGAGTTTCCGGTTTGTAGAGCAGTGCGTGGGTGTGAGAAGGATGAGATGAAAAGAAGGAATATATGAATAGAGAATGGATTGAGAGCGAATATGAGCCACACATGAAATGGATGGAAGCATGGGAGAATGGATAGAGTTGGACACATGGAGCATGCGACAATATACGCGTCAGCTTTCATTTTGGATGGACTCAGCCCTTTTTCCATGACGTGTCAAGTTCCAGTCCACTTGTTGCTCCGCTTTCCTTCATTCAACACCGGGAGGCACCTCATTACGCGGCACTGTTACTCGCAGGTCTTAATCATGAAATGCTGAATTCGGGTTGGTGTGGAGAGTTTCAAGAATTCATGGTGGGAGAAGAGCAATCAAACCCAAAATCACTTTTTTAAAAGAAAGTGCTTTCAATGGGCATGGCCAAAACTCTTCGTAAAATCACTTTAAAAACTTAATCTAAACATTCAAAAAATAAGTAATTTATATGCACAGCTTTCGTTTGATTTGATGTGGTCAAGTCAGTCTGGAATCAGTGAACTCCCTGGGAACGACACCCACCACCAATCAGGTCGAAGAGCCCACGGATTCCAAGGGCGATGAGGGATCCCTGGGTTTCATGGGCTGCGGCTGGGGCTACGTGAGATCCATATTCTCATCTCCATTCCATCACGGACTTGGATTCTTTCTACTATCTTTCCCATTCTCTTTCCCTTCACTACTCTTCTTTTCTCTTCACAACTATTAGATCAAAATTCTAGTGGTCCAGATTTAACATCTTATAAAAATAATGTCATTAAAAAAAATAAATTTAAACTGTTAAAATATGGTCTGAACAGTTCACAATTGTAATAAAAAAAATTGGAAAAAAATTCTCTATAATAACAGTTTGTAATTATGAGCTGTTCAGATTAGATTTTAACAGTTTAAATTTATTTATTTATTTTTTATCATGATATTTATTTTTATAAAATGTTATAAAATATTAAGTTTGGACCATTGGAGTTTTGATCCAATGATTGTAAAGAGAAAAAAGGATAGTGGAGGGGAAGAGGATGAGAAGGTAATGGAGAGAATCCAATTCTTTCCATCACAGCATGGGGGCAAAGTTGCCCTCATACCCACTATTTTTAATATATACAACTAAATAGTACTGCATTGGTAAGTGATTAAAAAAAAAAAACAGGGAGTAGAACACACAGCTGGCAGGGAGAGAGAAGAAAGGAGTAATTGGGTGAAGAAGTGAGGAAAGCAAGGAAGCAAGCAAAGGAGAAAGGGATGGGCACATGGGGTGTGGGTGGAGAGTACAGCGAAATCACACAGGGATTGTGTTTGTCCATGGGAGGGATATGCACACTTGGAAACTTGACCCACAAGATTTCACTCACAGTTTTATACTCAGTTCAAATTATATAAGTTATCTTGTCCCGCCAACTCGCCTTATAAAATGATGCACCCACCCCAATAAGTATTTAGGTTATCCAACAGTCATAGTTCCCATCCCACCCTTCATTCTGCTCCTACTCAACGCTGCCCTCTATAATCAGACAACTACATTCTAGTAATATCATTTTTTTTTTTTAAATGAAGTATAAAATAAATATTTATTCCCTTTTTGTATTTAGTTATTTTTTCCTTTCAATATACTATGGGCAATCATTTTTATAAATCTTCAAATACTCGGATGATTTAAAACTGTATATTTGCTGGGAAAAGAGTGACGCGATTATTAGAAGAATATTGTCTTTTCACATATTTACTTTTTTCGGTCTTTAATTTAAATTCATTTTATTATTTTATGATCCTGCACGGCAACCATGATAAACATAATAATTAATCCCATTAAGACGCGGCTGGATTTGTCTCCTTTTCTTTTTCTTTTTTGTTTTTTGGGAGGAGAGAGATGCTCTGCGCAAGTAACCCCAGTTACTCAAGAGAACTGGGCTTATGCTCTCGATGACTGGTAGTGAGGAATGATATTTATTTAAGCTTTAAAACATTTAACGAGAGTTAGATTTAAAAAAAATATATATCGAAGCTGAGCTATGGATATGAATTTACTCAATTTAGACATTTACAGATACAAAAGTCTTGATGATGGGAGCTACTTATAATATTTAAATGTTTGATTTGTAATTAATGTATCTGAATTAATATCTACAACTCAATTTTCAATAAAACTTGCTGAGACTTAATTGTGATTAAATTGATTTTCTTTTTAAAAGATCTTGATGTCATTTCCCATTCACATAACCTCCCTCATATATATATATATATATATATATATATAAAGACACTGTTTCACTTTTATTTTGATTCTAGATATAAGACCATAATTTATTTTGTCTCTCGTATTTAAGTATTTCTTCCCAACGTAGCCCTTCTAACAATGATAGTTTCAAACAATATACTCGATCAATAAGGATATCTTAAAAAAACAACACCTATTTATTACAAATAACTAACTTAACTTTTTTTTAAAATTTCCTTCTTATAATTAGGACCGGAAGTAGTATATAATAACTTCACAATAAATTTTTCCAGAAAAAACTGTATAAATAATTTTCATAAAAATGATATTTATAAATCAATAACTAAGGGGTGTTTGGTAATTCTGAAAAGTACTTCCGCAAAACGAAGCAAACTCTTCTATATATTTATTTCACAAACCATAAAAACACTTATAAAACTATAGTTTGATTTATATTCAAACACCACTTAATTCTCTTGGACTTGACATACAAGTTACGATAGCACGACCAAACACCGTAAATTTATCCCCCCACCTGCCGCCTTCACCCGAGAAACGCAGAAGAGAATCTTTTAGCCCAAAAGGAAAAAAGAATAATCTCCGTGAGAGAAATGGATCTTCTCCGGCCAAAATTCCTCGAGACCTCTTCCCAGCCTATTCCTCACCGTTGATGTAATTGAACGATTGAGATGCCAGGGGCAAAGGAGCAAATTTATTTGTTTATTTATTTATTTTTCGACCAGCTCCAAGCCGCAAGCGTAACAGAAGGAGTGAGTAGTGAGCCCAATGCCGGGCGGGCATGTTCCCCTGAAAACAAGGAAGAAATTGACGGACAGGAGTTGGTTCTAGTAAAAATGGTTAATTTTTTACAACATGACGAACTAAGGTTTGAATTCTTACTGGAAGAGATACCCATATTTAATATATGGTAGTGTTTGGAATAAGATTGTTTTCAATAAGAAGGTACTTATATTTTAACCAAAAAATAAAAATAAAAAAAGAAGAAGAAGTTAAGATTGTACCCAAAAAAAGAAGAAGTTAAGAGGTTGGAGAGAGACAGAATAGAGTACGGATCCATATCCCACATACGGACCAGATTTTATGTTACGGAACATCCAATGGTTAACATCCCTTTGAACATACAACCGTTAGATTACATCAAGGGTGGAGATTTGGCTAGAGAGCAGGCTTGGGGGAATTTGGCTAGAGAGGAACCATATCCATCTGATGCTTCTTTTGTCACAGTGCAATTAATTCAGAGTGTTTCTAGCCAACAAGGGGTAAACAATCAGTGGCAGTTGTAGATCTAAAACGCAATCTCCCTTAAATTTTTTAAACAACAAAATGAACTTTACAGTGTTTGCCCCACAGCCAAAAAGCCCAAAATAAAGAAAAATAAAAATAAAAATGTTAATTAAACTAACCCCTAACTCCCCGCCTTCATAAAAAGCCTCAAAAGAAGCAGAACTTTGTAGATATAATCGACGGGGAATTCTAGAGACTGCTTCTTTCTATCGGGAAGGCACTGGAGAGCGAAGAGCGGAGAATCAATGGGGAATCTGAAGAAGTCTTTGGGGTTGTTTCTTGTGGTGTGCGCTGTGCTTGTGATGTTGCCGGAGGCGTCGGCGACGAGGTGGACTGTCGGAGGCAAAATGGGTTGGAGTCCCAATGTGAACTATACTATTTGGGCTCGGGGCAAGCACTTCTACAATGGCGACTGGCTCTGTAAGCTCCTTCTTCTCTTACTGATTTAAGCTTCAATTTGAGGTTTTATGGAAGAGGTTCCTTCTTTGTGTGTAACATGAGCTGTAGCTTCCGGCCTGTCACGGATACGTGCGCATGTGCAGCTTAGATCTGGACATTTTCATGCATTGGATGCGCTAAAAGACTTAAGTTATAAGCTTTTTTCTTGTTTCTATGTGTCGAGTAGGTTCAAATTAGCTAATTTTGCTGCTTCTGTTTTGCTTTTATCTGTCTTTGAGCCTTATGGTAAATCCAGATTGCATTCCTAGAAAATTCGGCAAAAAGTAGAAAAGAGAGACAAATTGATTATCGTAAAAGAAGAACGGAGATAGTTTTACTTGTTCCTGCTTGTATGCTCATCCGACTTCATTGGAATTGTGATTATTCTCTTGGCATTTAGAGCCTAGAGGTACTCCGATTGGGAAAATAGAGTTTAGATTCCTTTCTAACTTTTCAGTTTCATGTTCTAGATACCCAGATCCAGGACTTTTTGCCCTTTTTCTTGCTTATTAGTGTTTCCTTTCGAGCAAGCTCATTATACTCTCATTTTCTCCCTGTTGATGCATTTCTAGCGACTGTAATTATGATTCCTTCCTGATATCCGCTCATCTTTCCCTTTTGTCTCGTTAGTCCTAGTTTCCAGTACTTAAGTTCTGTGATTGACTGCTGTTCTCTGGTACCTGAACATATCAGGTTGGTGCTGTTGAAGTCAGATCTGTTCAAAGCAGCCTTTTCACAACCAAGTCCCATATCTCATTATTAATGTGACTTGGGATGATCTGAACTTCATTTAAATTCAGATTTTGTTTAGTTCACTTCGTTTACCGTATCAAATAACTGAAACTGCATATTTGTTCTGTTTGAAATCAGACGATAACACAGTTATATTACAGTTTTTGTGTATGATAGGAACCAGCAGAGCGTCCTGGAGGTGAACAAGACTAACTACGAAACATGCAACACAGATCATCCACTTCATAACTATACCACAGGAGCTGGAAGAGACGTGGCTCCTCTGAATGTCACTCGCGATTACTACTTCGTGAGTGG